ACACAGTTCCACTCTCTGGTGACTAAGCATTCAAATATAAGAGCCTATCGGGGCTGTTCTTATTCTAACCACCACACCTTCCTTGGTTATATTCTCACAGGACTCAGGTTTTAAAGCTTTGATTTGTCACAGTCCATGGTTAGGGGCTGAGAAATTAAAAAAAAAAAAGTCATGGCTAGGGGCTCCTGGAAAGCAGTGTACTGGGACTATCACGTAGCAACTCTCACAAAAGTATGCAATCCATTTTAGGAGAAAAGAGAATAGAACTTAGAAGCTAGTTTTGCTAAAAAGTATTGACTCTTCTTGGGCCCACAAGGTACAAAAAAACAAAGAAATAAACAAACCATAAAAACAGAATAAGATTCTGGCACCTCTGTCTTCATTCTGCATCAGACCCTTTCACTTGGGTCACCTGTTTACTTTTGATAAGGATACACTGGTCCTTCAAGGAGTGTTTAACCTTCACATTAGTCCCTCAAGTAGTGTTCCCCCTTCCAGGCCTGATAAAGGCACAGAGATTAGTCACTGCCACTAAAGAAAAAAACTGAAAAAGATACTAGAAGATTGAAAGACATCCCATGCTCCTGAACTGGAAAAATTAGTTGTGTGGAAATGGCCATTTACTAAAAGCAATCTACAGATTCAGTGAACTCTCATTCAAAACTCCACAGCCACTCTTCCTTTTCACAGATGTAGAAGAAAATCTGAGAATTTAAATGGCAACACACAAAAAATAAAATAAAATAATAAAATAGGATAGTGACAAAATAAAACAGGATAGTGAAGGCAATCTGAACAGAATACAGCTTGAGATAACACCACACCTGACTTCAAGCTATACTACAGAACCATGGCCTTAAAAACAGCATGGCTGGGCCTTCAGAGGGTGGCATACAACTTTAATCCCAGCACTTAGGAGGCAGAGGCAGGTGAATCTTTGTGAGTTCGAGTTGTGGTCTACAGAGCTTGTTCCAGAACAGGCTCCAAAGCTACACAGAGAAACCCCGTCTCAAGAACAAACAAACACACACCAGCATGGTCATAGTACAGAATCAGTAGAATAGAACTGAGGACCCAGATATTAGTCCATACTTACACAGCCACCTGATTTTCTACAAAGATGCCAAAAACAAACATTCAACAAATGCTGCTGGAAAACCTGCATTTAGCATGCAGAAAAATGAAACTGGACCCTCACCTCTCACCCTGCTTGAAACTCAACTCCAAATAATCAAGGACCCCAACATCAGACCTGATGCTGTGAAACTGCCACACTGAATAACATCTCTTTGCCTTTCATTATCACTTTTATTGTCTCCTTAACTGGTGTGTTGGGGCGAGGCAGCCAAGCCTAGCTCTTGTGGCTGCCAGAACCTAAGCTTCTACTTCTAATAGCCTAGAGTCAGAAGAACATTTTATACAATTCACTGTCACCATGACGGCTTCCAGACTGCCAAAGCCCTGCAGCCACTGGCTACAGTCAGTCTGTGCAATGTTCATTTGCCTCCCACCTCTGCCCTGCAGCACTCTCATCCTCCCACTCAGTGACCTTTGCATTATAACCAGCCCAAGGGTGCAAACTGCAGGATGCTTACTGCTTCTCAATGCAGAACTATTACCTATGAGCACCTCTGTCCTGGACTATCCAGAAGCCCTCCTGTATCTAAAGTAGGTGTGTGTAGAAATGCTCCTGGCCATTCTTTTACATGACAAGCAGTTGCAGTGCATCTCACAGAGGTCTGGTGCTGGCCTCATGTTAAAAGGGTAACCCGAAAGCTCAGTAATCAAATTAGCAACCATTTAAAACAATTCTTTCAAATTAAATTAAAAGCAAAACAAATTGTAATGAATAGTTTTAAATTTTTAAAACAGGGCTAATGAAGACAGCCGGAGCCCCTAGACTGAGCAGGAGTGCCCAGTTTTCAGATGACCTCCTCATGGTAACTGCAAGCTGAGGCTGGGGCTCCAAAGAAATCTCAGCAAAGCACACCTCTAGGGCCTCTCTGGTTAGATTTGTAAAGCAAGTTGGTCCCAGTCTACCTGCAAAGCTATCAGAAGCAGGAAGAGCCAACATTTAAAGACACCCCCAGTGCCCTCAGAAAGCTTTGCTTGTGGTAGATATACACTCTCTGTGTCTTGTGGATCCCAGCAGGCCTTCTCCAGACTTCGTGTCTTACATGGCTGCTCTGCCCACCTATGGGTCCCCCTCACATTCATCCATCCAGTTCTGGTCTGAAGTACCTCTCAGCTCTCCTGACTGTCTAGTACATGGTCATATAGTCTTAAGCTGGGCCTAAGTGGAGGCTGGTCAATAAACATCAAGTTCATCTGTCATCAAGTACAAGGGACCTTCACCAGCTCCTTCCAGGGATGGTATTTATTTCCATCCAGAGCACAGAACTAGTGTTTTTGTGGCCTTCTCTTCAGTGGTTTGTTTCTGTAGTATTCAGTATTGGTCCCACTAGGTGAGGTCATTCTTGTTGGTCACCCCTGTACATGGAGGCTCTGAGTCACTTGCTTGAGTGATGGGTGAGAACTTATAGAATCCATGCAGATCCCAGGGCCTCAACTCCACTCTTGACCCCTTTCCTGCTTGTAAAAGAGGAAAATTAAGGGGCCCTAGAGTGGCTCCAAGGGGCTTCAGTGCTTGCATGTAGGGTGGGTGAGGCCATTTCCTGACATCTGCCCACCAGGAACGTTGGGAACACTAACACTGAATACCCTAGCTGCCAAGTATGGCAGCAAAAGCTATGGTTACCCTACACCAGCTTCGCCTATGCTAATACCAGCATGATTTATCTCCCCAAATCTGTACCCAGAGACTCCCCATGTAGTCAGGCTTCTCTCGCTAGGGGAGGCTCCATACCAGGAACAAACCAGCACACAGCCGTTGTGACCACGGCCACAACATTTGGGTCTCTACTGTCTTCACTACACCCCACAGGTGTAGATGTAGTGAAGGATGGCAGGAGCTGAAACCACTCTACTAAGGAGCCTTTGGTCAAGGCTGGCTTACCAGCCCACATCCGCAGGGTGGGCTTGCAAGCACATGTGAAAGTGGAAGGAAATAAAGGAGACAACAAGCTTCTGAGGTTCCTCTATGCCTTCTGCTGACAGGAAGTGCTCCCTCCACGGGTGTGACTCCTCCACACCATGTACATGGGAAATAGGTGAGACACAGGAAAAGGCCATACAAAAATTGTACTGACAACCAAAACACCCAGTCAGAGCCAAGTCCAATGAAGGCCCTTTTACCTTTTTTTTTTTTTTAAGTTTAAAAAAGTGTAATTAATCTTCCCTCTAAGGCCTGATTCTGCTTAGCTTCTGCAACCAGTCAAGACCAGGTATATTCGGAGCGGTACAGCCCTAGATAAAAATGAATTAATTGAAAAGAAACAGCACCTACAATTTTTTAAGCATTATCTAGTTTTGTGTAAATTAATTTTTAGACTTTATTTCTATGTTAAAAATACACTGGCTTCCAGATGTAACAGCACACATCTGTAATTCTATCACTTTAGGAAGGGGCAGGAAGATCTCCAGTTCAAGATCTTTTCAAGCCTGGGCATCTTAGAGAGGGCCTGTCTCAAAACAAAACAAAAACCAAACAGCATCTGCATGCAGTGAAATTTTTAAAGGAGGAGAGTTTGCGGCTCTATGTCCCACTGGGTACCCAGAATCATTTGGACAGCATTCATTCCACTTAAACCTTCCTTGTTCTTGAATGCTGTGGTGGTTTGAAAGAAAATGGCCCCCAAAGGGAGTGGCATTTTTAGGAGGTGTGGCCTTGTTGAAGGAAGTGTGTCACTGTGCGGGCAGGCTTTGAGGTCTTTTTCTCAAGGTTCACTCAGTGTGACAGTCAACTTCCTGTTGCCTGCAAGATGCAGGACTCTCAGCTGCTCCAGCATCATGTCTGCCTGCATGCTGCCATGATTCCAGTCATGATGATAATGGACTGAACCTCTGAAACTGTAAGTGAGCCACCCTGATTAAATGTTTTCTTTATAAGTGTTGCCATGGTCATGGTGTCTCTTCACAGCAATGGAAACCCTAACTAAGACAGATGCTGTGGTCTGACTTTCTTCCCCAGCCAACTTTCACAGTCTGGAGTGAAGAAAGAACCTTGAAGACACATGTGCTCAGAGGGGACAGTTTTAATAACTGCCTGCCAAGTCCATGAACGGATTTTGACAACACCCATTTCCCTCCAAGATAACACACTCCTTCCTGGCATGAGTGTTGTAAATAAAACAGATATTGGGAAATCGAGAGCACCATGACTCAGTGGGATGTCACCAGCAAACTGGAAAACAGGCTGCCAGCAGGTATCATATCTGCACCCAGACTGTGCACGGCCTTGCCTGAACATTGTGGGCCCCACACTTCTGTTCTTATGCTCCCAGGCTCTGGCATTCTGTCCCAGATCATGAATAGACTAATCATCTATGCTCTGAAGCACACCTGTTCACAGCCCTCAGCGAGGTGCCTGGCTCAGTCTCTGCTACTCTGCTATCCCCTGACCATCTTTTCCCAACTGTAACTTGTTCCTTGGCTCGGCCTTGTTCTAGCCTCTTTACTCTGAGCTGTGACTGGTGTACAGCTCTGCCTTCCAGTAGAAAGTGTCTTAGAAGTCCACTATTTTTTTTGTGTGTGGTACGTACATATGTGAGCCCACGTGTGTGGGTGCATGTGTTCATTTGGTATGGAAAGCTGAAGTTAATGCCTGGAATAATCTGCCTTGATCACTCTTCTACCTTATTCATTGTGGCAGAGTCACTCAAACTCTGAAGCTACAAATGTGGCTAGTCTCCATAAGCCAGCTTGCTCCTGAGATCCCCTGTTTCTACCTCCCAAGGCTTGACCTACAGGCAGGTGCTACCCCCACCAGCATTTACATGACTTCTATGAATCTGAACTCTGACCCACACTTGTCTGTCAAGTGCTTTAACTGCTGAGCCATCTCTCTACCTGTGCCCCACCCCCATTTCTTTAGTACTCACCTTTGAGGACAGGTCTCTCTCCAATGCTTTTGATACTGTAGAGGGTGTTGGACAGGGGCGCGTCAGGAATGAGCTCCGCCAGCAGGTACCCCGAATACCAGGCGCACAGGGAGGAGAAAATAAACACTAGTGCCTTGAAAATACCTGTAGACAGACAACAGGAGTGTCACCTAGAGGTGACGACCTAGCACCATGGACACCTGAGCATTCCCTTTCCTCCACAGCCTATCATCCCTACCCATTTCTGGTGCACAGACTCCTGAGACGGCAGTTTTGGCAGGAGAAAGTGAGTACATGAGGGCCCCATGAGCTCTGCAGTAGAAGGCAGGCCACACAGACAGACAACAAGGAGTGTTTTTTAGAGCAAGCAGCTATACTGATGTTGCCCTGGGTCTGAGACTCCTCACAGGTTTGCTGCAGTGGGTAGCCATTCCAGCTTTGATCTGGAAGTTCCAACCCCCATTGAGGCTTCAGTAACTGTCACGCCTATAAGGCGGGGCCAAGAGAGGACCCTGAAGACCCGAGATCCAGATGCGACGGCTCTCTTGGTTCCTGGACGCTGGACACTGGGGGTAGACTGAGGAGAGTTCTCCAGAGAACACCGCCGGACTGCGCTACGCCTTTCCCAGACTCTGTAAACTATCCCTTCACTTGTAAGTTACCCTGCAAAATAAACCTCCCTTTTAACTATGTGGAGTGTCCTTAATAATTTCACCAACAGTTTGCAGACTGTGTGGTGATTAGTACAGTGTGGGTCTAAGGAGCTGATACCACTCAGGGCCTTTGCAAGACAGGCTCAGCCTTGAGCTTGCTCCCGCAGTGGGAACAGAATCTCCAGAGGGTAGTCTTAGGTTTGTTGTTGTTTGTTTTTTAATCATGGCATTTCTCTGTTAAAAATTACATCAAGGGACTCTGAGCATGTGCAACAGATGACAGCTGCGTCTCACAATGGAAGTCTCTCACCTGTCTTATAGCCTCAGAGGGATCTGCAGAGACACCCAAGGATCCTGACGGTAGGAGGTCCCCACAAACCTTTGTATGCTGACTTGCTATCAAAATCACCTGGCCACAAGAAGCTACAGATATGGGCTTGTAATTCCTCAGGAAGCCATTACCCTCCTCCTTGATGCCACAAGCCTGGTTCAGCCATAGAAATGGATAGAGAAAGGGAGATGGAAGGAGGAACAATGAGGAAAAGGCAGCGTTAGGCAGGGAAAGGGCTGTGGAAGCTGGAGGAGACCACAATCTATAGCTTCTGAGTCACAAGAACAGAGGTATCCCAGAGTTGGCAGGGTGTTTTCTCCCTGCTCAAAGCCCCAAAGAAAAGTTCTCTTACTGTGTGCTCTACAGGTAAGGACAGTGGTCAGGACAGCTCTGAGGCCCATGAAGATGAAACACGTGATCTGAGTGAGAAATTCCTCATGTATGTGTTATGTATAATAACCAGGTAGTGGTACTGTTTGGGAAGGTTATACAAACTTCAGAGAGGAACTTTGCTGGAGGAAGTCTGTCACTAGGGGAGGGCTTTGACATTTTATAGCCCACCCCACTTCCTCTCTTTGTGTCTTTCTCTCTGTGTGTCTCTGTCTCTCTCTGTCTGTCTCTCTCTTTCTCTGCTTCCTGACTACAAGTTGGGATGTCCTTGCTGCCAGGCCTTTCCACATGGTGGATTCTGTCTACTCTGGAACTGTGGGAAGCATGTTCTAGAAACTTCTTTTGGGTAGATTATGTGCTAGGACAGCTGTAGAATATGTACAAAGTCAGGGACAGTCCTTTGTGTATTGTTAATGTCTGGACAATTCCATCTAGTGGCTTGTACGAAGAATAAAATCTTCAAATGAAATAACATTCAGAGGGTCTTCCAGACTCCCATACATGAGAGACAGGAGTTGCTATGCTACTTTTGGAATGGGTAAAGAACAGATTAACAGGATGAATGTGTGGATCTGATGAGGAAGAAAATGGAAAATGTACGGAGAGTCGGGCACTCTCCTAGGGAAGATTCCACTTCCTGACAGAACCACCTGTGGCCAAACAATGAGCCCTAGCTTCAATTCTCATCAGGACTCTGTGCTTTGGGTAGAAGGTCCAGCCACTGGCCTCCAGGCTGGAGACAGTCTGGCTTCTTGTAATGACATGACACTGGCCAAAGAGGGTGAGATTCAGGGTCAAGACCATTTCTAGGGTAGGCAGAGAGAGCCAGGAGTACTGGGGGACCAGTCTACCATTGAAGGAAGGAAAGGAGCCCATCCGGAGGGTGGGATACAAAAGCCCACACTGGTAGCATGTACTCATGTCTTTGGTTGTCATGACAAAGTAATGCAGACCAAGAATGTCATTGAAAACACTTCCTCATGATAGTAGCTGGGGGCCAAGATCAAGGTGTCACAGGGTCAGTTCCTCCTGGCCCCCTCTCCTTGGCTTGTAGATGGTATCTTCTCACTGTGTCCTTGGTGGTCATCCATCTGAGTGTGCCTATGTCCTGATAACCTTTTCTTGAAAAGACTTAGTCCTGCGAGCTTGGGCTCTATCCTGTGAGCTCATTTGAACTCCTTTGAAGACTCTTCAAATCCAGTTCCATTTTGAGGTCCTGATGGATGGAACTTCAGCATAGGAATTTGGCCCAATTCAGTCCCTGCCATAGCACCAGGAAGCCATAGCACAACCTCTCCATTCATGGGACACCTGTCCCTGGGCAGACAGAACATAGGCAGTCTGTCAAGACGGTGGCCCCTAGCATTAACAGCAGTGACAACTGGGCACCTGAGCTGAACACAGGGAAGATACTTCTGGAAGGTGGGAGCCCAGAGACTCTGGGGAAATGGCTCTCAGCACTCTGGGTTGATGACTACCCTTGTGGGAAGAGATCCAGAAGCTTCAGAAATGAGGGGGGAGAATGGAGTCCAGGAGCTTGTCTGTGGTTCTATAACCAGGGCCCAGCCTTTCCTCATATGGTGATAAAGCCATCAACTTAGGTAAGCACCTTTGGTTCATTTGCTATACAGAGAAGCCTGAGGGTAAAGGCCAGCACTTGGCAACAGGGGAATATAAATTGTTATCAAAGTACTTTGTCCTTAGAGATGTATGTTCTGTGCAAATGTGCGTGCATGTGCTTATGTATTTACACACATGTGTTCCAGCCTCATCCCCACTGTCAGATGCCCAGGGCCTCTGAAGCCTAGCCATTTAACTGAAGAGTCAGCAAGAAAGCAATCCTTTGGCCAATGCTACACACAGGATATTAGGGCTCACCTCTCTTTCATACTCAGGGGCTGTCAATCACTATTACCTGAAGAACTGAAATGCTATGGGTGTCTCAAACACAGTGAGGCTGAATAGCACCAAAGTTTTTGTGTCACAGTTCTGTCTGTCAGGATCTCAGAATGAAACAGGATGTGAACACAGAATCTTTAAAGAGACAGGTAAGTTAAAATGAGGTCATCCGGAGGGACCCTGACCCAACATGACTATCTTTTCAAGAAAAGGTGATACAACACAGACACACTTGGAGGGAGATCATGGGTCTTGCTAATAGGTTTCCTCCAATCTGAGCGAGGACAAGGAAGCTGTTTGTTCCTGGTGCTTGCCAACATGCATCCAAGTCCCTGGCCACACCCATGCCTTTTAGACCTGGGAAGCCAGGAAGGCTGGGGCTGTAGTCATCTTTCAGGGCTCAGCTGGTTTTGGTGCTCACTGCCTCCCCGTCCTGTCCATTGAGGCTTTTAGACAGGAAGTGCTTCCATAACCCACCTTGCCAATACCCAAGCTGAGGGAAAAGACACCCACCAGCAGGCCCCACGGGACAGTATCATGGCAGCTTCCAGGGCCCAGTGACAACAAATCTGAGGCTAGACAGATGAGCCAATGACAAGGACTACTCCCAAAACACTGCCAAATCCTCAGCTCACCAGGCGAAAGTAATGCAGCCCCTCCTCTTACAATCACACTTACTGGGGAAGTGCAACTGTGAAATTTTCTGAAAGTTTTGGATGAAAGAACCACATAGCTCTTGTGTGAGTCACAAGGGCTGTGTGGAAAATGGTTGTCAGAGCAGGCAACTGGTAACTTCCAGCTTCCTCTATGTGTAGCCAGGAAAATGATATCCTAATCATACTGGAGAAAGCTAATGAAACCATTCTTCTAAAAGAACCAGAATGAAAGCCAGTGCAGGGATGAAGGATGTGCTCCATTTACATTCATCTGTCAGAGACAGGGATGTGTTCTGAGAAATGTCATTGTGCCAAGATGGCAGAGATCAGTCACGCAAAGTAAGGGGCCTGTGCCTTAGCAGTACAGCATCATGCTGACCTTGTTCACACAGATGCACACATGCAAATGCACCTCCACCCACTTACCCTACAGGACACCAGAGTCACTGCTGACGCTGATGCAGAAGCAGGAAAGGGGCCTGATAGGGAAGTCAAGGGCACTTCCCCTTTCTCAGCCTGTCCTGTTTGCACAGCGCCTGCTGTGGCTGCCTAGTGCTTTCCCTCAGGGGAGTCCGCTTTTCACTGTGAGAATGAGGTGGGAAGGACAGAAAAGGCAGGCTCTGAGAGACTCAAGGACTGAGGAAAAGTGAGCTTTCTCCCCCCTTTACCATCTTCCCAAGTCTCTTACCAATGCCGAGGATTCTGAGAAAAGTAGAAACAGCTTGTGAGAGGGTGCCTGGGCGCTGTCAAGATCATCTGTCATCAGGGTTCCCACTTCTCACTCCCCCAAGTAAACTCCAAAAGGGTCTTCCTCACTGTCCCTTTACTTTCCATAGATTCCTGAGCTGATCAGCTTGAAGGGTGGCCTCTCCTAACCCCAGTCAGCAGCCAACCCCTTCCCAGCTGTCCTGGCTCTAGGGCCTTCCACTCAGGTAGGCTGGTCCCCAGGGACTAAGCCACTTTGGTCACCCCTGCCTGCCCTCACCTGATGTCTATTCAGTAGGTAGGAGAGTACACAGAACCCCTCCCTGCTGGGTAATAAGAAGAGTGGGAGGCTTCTCAGAAATCTCAGCTCCCACACTGTGCCCCTCTGGATTCTTGTTCCCACCAGGATCCCAGGTCTCACAAGAGGTGGCCCTAGCCAGAGCCTTCACCCTTCTGCCTCAGCTTGACAGTCAGGAAGGGGAAGGGGTGCTGCCCTTTCCCCTGGGCAGA